AGTATCAGCTTACTTTCAGAGGAGTGACAAGATTATAAAGTCACAAGTAGAAAAGAGCATAACATAGTTCTCCTTTGGTTCTTTAAGTCATTATTCTTTGCGAACATCATTTATCTTAGCAGCATAAATGCTTTTCTATTAATAGTTACAGTATGGTGTTTTTGTTTCTTTTTAAAGCTGTGTTGCCAAAAGCAAATGGCTTGAGTTTTAATGTTGCTCTGAGTTCAACTTTTTTCCCTTTTTACTTTTCTCTGCTCATTAATTTCTGCCTGTCTTTGTAACAGTCGAGCAGGTGTGACAGTTCTTTTCACGGGAATTAAATTTTAAGCTTTAGATGGATTCACTTTCTGGTCTGTTAATTAACATTTGAAAGTTTCTGCAGTTTGAAATAGAGGGTTAAGGAGGTCCTTAGTCAGACTGACTAAAACTAGCAACATGTGGCTCCAGCAGAGAGTATAAGCACCGTCAGAAAATGTCCTGGCAAGGTTGTCCTAGGAAGAGTGGACAAGCCCAGGTGTGCACTCCCCAAGTCCCAGGGAGCCTGAGACAGACTGGTGACATGAACACTTCGTTGTGTAGAGGGAATGAGGCATTTTTGGGGGGAGGAGGTATCTGTTTCTGTGTGTGTATATACATATAAGTTTAAATGTCAGTGTTTCCTCAAATATATGATCAGTTTGTGTTCCTCACTTTGGGGATCTCTCAGTTCTCCTGAACATATGTGAAGATGTTTCCCACAGCTGTTGCAAGGACTGACTGAAATTCTTTTGGCATCTGCATCTTTCACAAGAAGGTAAATATTACTGGCTCAAAATTCCCCATTTTCAGTTGCAAGTCATCTCCATTTACGTTTCACACAGATCCCCAGGACGGGCTTTTGAGCCAGTAGCTGTTCTTCAGGGCACTACTGCTGCACGTTCACTTCCCGGAGGAGGGAACCGTAGAACACGTGGACTCACTGAGCTGTTACCTTCTTACAGTCCTCTGTGCAGAAGGCAAGCAGAGAAGCAAATGGTTGCACCAAAATAATGTAACCTTCCAGCAGTAAGGCATGCTATAAGGCCGGCAGTGCATTACTGTGAACATGCAGAGCTGAGGTTGTAATAACAAGCAACTAGTAAATAACCTGCTCCACCAAGTGTATGGAATTTGATATGCAACACTGGTCCAGACATAAAAGGTTTTGCTGTAGCCTGCCTGTGATTGCAAAGGGGTTGTCACCTTCAGTCCCTGTTCAGGTGTCAGCACAGACTGCCTCAAGGTACAAAGAAAAACTCCTTGAAACATTTGGCTCTAATGGCACTGGATGCTCTCCTGAGGAGAAAGATGGATGGTATGTTGACGTGATGTGAATATGGCAACCACACACACACACACACACACACACACACAAGCTGGACTACCAACCCCATTTGGCAGCCAGTCTTGTCTTTAAATGGTTTCCTTACTCATTTTCTCACTGTACTCTCTAACATTGTTATTGCTTGCCTTTTTATATACAGAAAGGCAGAACTGAGGTTTTTAAAAAATACACACATAAACTCCTCCAAAAAATTTTTAGTGCGTAGCTCTTCTGAAATACTAAAAACATGAAAGCACTACCTTACAATTTTAGGAAGCTTGCCCACCAGAAAGCAGTGTTGGGAGGTGTTTGGTTACATACAGATGGTGCAAGATGTTCTCCATCAAGACACTGGCCCACTTCCCAGAACAGCTGTTGTGCCACAAGAGGTAAGAATGATGTTTCTGATAAGGTTTTAATGAGCTATGATAAATGCAATTTAAGCAAACATTTTTATGACCTGTGGTAACCTTCTGTTAGCAAAATTATGATTACTGCTCCTTTAGTCATGTATGCTAGCTCCACTTGTTCACATCAGGTAAAATTAGCAGAAAATTTACTTCATGTTCTGCGATTCTGTGTGCTGCAGCTATTTCTCCTTAGGCTGTATCCCACTAGCACCTGAATTGTTGCTTGGTTTTGAGTTCTCTTAGAAACTGTGGGTAAAAATGTGGTAATATACAGGTCAAACAATTCTGTAATTCTGTCTTTTTTCCAGATACAATAAATTATATTTTTGGATTACCAGAACAGGAACAAAAACCTGTCAAGTCATGAAGCTTGCCCACTTCACTGGACTCCCTAAAGACCCAGGGTGCCGTCACTTGCAGGCTTACGACTCGGTGTAACAGCAGTCCCGTCTACCCTGCGCGCAAGGACAGAGACAAAAACACAGGTGCCCTGCTGTGCTGCAGTGGGGACTGCCTGGTCTCAGATGCAGTTAATGATGTGTACGTCATTGCTCTGAACCTTTCATCTTTCCCAGTAAAGATAATCACTTTTTAAGGTTGGTAACAGCTGCTGTTGCTGTGCACTGGGGTTTTGGTACCTGCTTTCCTTCCTTTGCTGTGCCACCTGCTTTGTAGTGCTCTGACTTTCCTCAGTCTGGGCACAGACAGAGCTGAGTGAAAGAAGAGATGGGTTCTTGGGCTGATGGTGGAGCTGTAAGCTGCATAAAGAGAAGCCAAAGAACAGGCAGAACTGGAGCTCTCCTTTTTAAGTGGAGAAACCACCTTCCCTTACAACCACTAGAGGAGCAGCACACAGGAACTTGTAACCCTCAGCCCCCAACCACTGATAGAAACTTGAGCAAACCTGCATCTTAGTAAGATAAATCAATGTAATTTTTTTTCAGATGCCACCATCAACTGGGAAAAAAAACCAAACACAACAACCCACAACCACCCACTACTTGTTTTTAAGCAAAACCTTTATTTTAGTTGATAGGCTTGTTTGTATTAAAAACAAATGACTTCAAAATCAAATTCACATAAAACTCAGCATGTAAAAATAAACAGATCATTGGTCAAGCTCTGTTTCTGAAAGACAAGGGCTCAAAATTACTTTTTAACAACCTAACACGGCAACAGATCAAACTGGGATGGTAGGTTTACAGGCTGGCCCCCTCCTTAGAATACACCAGCTGCAAACTGGTGCTATTAAATGATTTGCTCCATTTCCCACTAATACATTGAGCAAACATTGAGAAAAGTATCCCAGTTTAATCTGTGATGTAAGGGTAGTAAAAATGCTTTACACAGTTTTACAGGCACCACTGTTTTCTTCCCGGAATCTAAGTATTTGTAACATTTGTGAGTTTCCTTGCAACACCAACAGAGGGAGTTTGGAAGGAGACTGAAACAGTCAGACTACATTATATACACTTCACATGTACAATTATCTTTTAAAAAATGCCCATGTACAAAATAGAGGGTTCTTTTATTTTAAAAAAGTCGTGCTAGATTTCAATTACATCAGCATTTTTAAAGAACTGAAAATAATTGATCAATAACAGCAACATTCTGATTCATTAGGAACCTTCCTGCAAGCAAGTGAAGAGGTACTTGCACTAAACATTTAAGATTCTCATAGGCCTTTTTTGGACAACTTGTGCTATAAACCTCAGGTATGAAGTATGTAAAAAGCTCTCAGTTGAGAAAACAGAATAAAAGCTAATTAATTAATGCAAGATTATTTCAGTAAAATATAAAATTATTCTACTTAGGAAGTTCATACTGCAAGGGCATCTGATTTACAGCCAGTTAGACAAAGAACACAAACTAATAACTAGAACACATACATTAGTTAAAAAGTCAAATATATACAAAAATATATTAGAAAGTGGTTGAGTTTAACCACAGGCTCATGTAAAAAAATGTTGTTTTAAATAGCAATAGCAAAAAAATAGCTATTTTCTCTTATCTGCAACAGTACAAAAGGCAAAACCTACATATGAGGTAGCAATGCCAAATTAAAAAAAAAACAAACCCAACTTTGGATTGAGGAACACTTCTGTCTTTTCATATCTGTCAATACAAATATTTAAATGAACACCTCAATTGTTTCCAGAATTCATACATTAATTTACAAAAACCTTTATATTCAATGAACATTTTTAAAAAATGACTGGAAATGGATTTAGTTACTGATTCCTCCTGTTTCTAAGCAAGCTACTGCATTTTCAAATCAAAAAACTGTACAGCAAAAACATGGAGGCTTTATTATACACACTGGGTAAATGCTATGGTACATTAAGACATAATTTACAGATGAGCCAACTGTGGTCATGTTCTGCCCCATCCACAGATGCTGCACCTCCTGCTACTGCCTGCTCCATGCCAGGTGCAGGATGAGCGTTCACTGCTCCCTTCCACAGCTCTGCCCACAGCTGAAACACCTTCCCAGCATCTACCTTCAGGTGTCTGAGCCAGCAGCAGCTCAAAGTCCCCCTCCTTGGTCAGTGCTGAAACTTCTGGGGAATTTGGGGGTGGGACAGTCATCCCATCCCTCCCTCCTTCCTGCAAGCACAGGGCAGGAGGAGCCCCCTGAGCCTCCCTGGCCAAAAAAAACGCGAGGAATGAAAAGCCAGGAGAGAGGTGGCCACCCAGCTGCGCTGTGCCAGCTCTGGGCCCTGGGCTGGCGGGCAGCACTGCCAGCAGCACTGGCCCCTCATGTGGGTCAAATCATCTGCGCTTCCAGCTCCAATGACCAAAACGAAACTGCTGTTCCTCCAAATCAGGCAACCAAGTCAGACAACTGAAGTTAGATGATATAAGTAACACCCAAAAAAACAGAACTGGTGGGAACTTCTGTACTTAATGTATTAAGAAAATAATATACTTTACATCACAGTGCTTAATTAAATGCAATAAAAATGTAAACTCAGGATTCGAGATAAAATTTAACTTGAAAAATTTGGGCTCCAAGACTTTAAAATTCACAATTTTTTAAAAAATGGAAGTCACAGTCAGTTCACATAACACACATTTAAGATTACTTGTAAATACCTGTTGCTGCACTCCACTGTTTGGTCATTTAATTTTTTTTTTTAAAAAAGCCTAAATAACAAATAGACCAAGTGCAAAGGTAAGAGGTATATTTTTATTTGCAAAGAAACTTAACTTCAGAAGTAATCTGCAGATCAGGCATCCAGAGCGCTCTAGTAGATGTAAGGAAATATGCGGTAGGGTACACGCTGACAATACCTTTCCCACGCCAAGCCGTATTTTTGCTTACAGTGATGTTCATCACGAGCTTCTCGATGAACAAGCAAGCAGATGAAATAGATCACGTAGAAATATGGTAAAACGTGATTGAAACCTGTAGGATAAAGTGAGAAAATCACTTCAGATACAGGGAAAACAAAAGAAGCAGAAATGTTAGCTCTTAAGAACACACAATCACTCTTTAAGATCGAGTCCAGCATGTACTAAGCTGGTGACACAGAGTTGTTATGGCCTGATGTATCTTAACCCTCGCAGTGCATCAAATGCTCAACTGGAAACTGCAAAAATTGGGTGACATGTTTACACAAAGACATGAAAAGACCCTCCAAAAAAACCCAAACAAAAACCCAACTTAAAATTCAGTCTCAAAATCTAACAACTTAATTCTCAATGCATGCAAAGCTGGCACGTATTTTTTGTTCTTTGCTGTCAAAACCAAAGAAACAGCTAAGCCTCTGTAGCCCTGAGTTGCCCCATGAGGTTGTCTCCATTTTTCAGCTGTAGCTGGAGAGCGCAGCTTTGCTCAGAGCACACGGCTTGACCTGGGGATGAAAAGCTGGACGTGAGCCAGCAGCATGCGCTCACACATTCCCTCCTTATGAGGACAGAGTGAGCATTGAGGTTGTTCAGCCCAGAGAAAAGGCGGCTCTGGGGAGACTAGATAGTTCACAAAAGGTGCTTTAGTTTCAGAACTTACCACAGGGTAGGGACCATGCTAGAGCCATGATGATGTCACCAAGATAATTAGGGTGACGAACAAAACCCCACCAACCAGTGACAAGAAGCCCTTTTCCAGTTGCAGTGGGTATAAACTTCAGATCTGCAAATAGAGTATTGTAGTCAATACAACAACTGATGTGTATTTAAATAGTACAAAGAGATAGAGCGTAGCAATCAAACAGATAAATGCACTTACAGGCCAATTTGGGATCCGATGGATTCCTTCGGAAATTGTTTTTCTGAGAATTTGCACTGCGGAATATGTAATACCCAATACCTGAAAATAGATAATTTATATTGTGTTTTCAGTGTTTTCCGGTTTTCTTTCCTTCAGCAAGAACACTCACATGCTCTCTGCCACTCTTATTACCTTGGTAGTAAGAGGGGCAGAGATTTAACTGATAACCTCCAGTTCTCAGAGGTCTAACAAGATAGAAATGCTATTGGAAGCCTGTGTTTCGTATGCTCTTACACATCACTGACTTGACTTTTTATTTGGAGCAGCTTTATTGTCACATCTACTTTTACATTTATATTAACATATTTTATTAATTAACAGTGAGTTTGAAACTCATATAGAGGTGATGTGCTGCACTTTGTACAACTACAGCTCTCTTAGCAGCCCAGTATTTTGCTACAGTACCTATTCCACCAACTGACCAATTATTTACAAGTTCACATAATTTAAAAAAGCAGACAATGAAGAAGTATCTGGTTTTGAAATTAATTTCCCCTGTCATTTTCACAAGGTATATTCCCCCCCTCCTCCCCCCCCGAGGCTGTACTGAAAAAACACAATCACAACATATTTCAAAAGAGAGTGATTAATAAATAGTAACAACCAAGATGTTGCATTTCTCAAGACTGCATATACCAAGTTGTACACCTCCATATTATTTTCAAGTGATTAAATTCTTTGTCATGTCTACCAAAAACCCTTTTCGTCTAGGTTTACTACTTCGATAACAGGTACAAACTACCAGGCCATATTGGTGCAAGTTTAAGGTTCCCTAAAGATAGAAGATCCTCTCGCAAAGCACTCAACTAGAAAAAAAAAAGATGTTTTCCATAGACATGAGTTTGTAACTATGGCCATCAGGGAAGGAGACATAAATTGTTAAAACCTCTTTTTCCCTTGGTTCAGTAAAGCATAGCCAAACAAGCGACTGACTGCTTTTTTTGTGAGTCACTTGTAAAAGGTATCTGCTACACTTCATTCAAAATGTTTTAAGTCACTTCAACTCCAGGCAGCATCCAGCTAAAGATGCCTCTCAACACAACAATCAGGCATACACAGTCTTATTTATCCTTCATTTTAAAAAATTGGAATTAAACAGTAGTCGGACACATGCTTCCACCAGGTAAGGTAATGCTGAAAATAGGATCATAGCATCTTAGCTAAAGCTTCACCTCACAACTCAAAAGAAAAAACAGTACTACATTGTTACTACCACTAGCAATAGCATTTACTATAACTTACAGTTCAGAATAGTAATTGCAGCAGCAACAGGCCAAGAAATGGCAGCAGGATGCCCAACCAAATAGAAGGCCTGCAGACTGTAGACAAACGGTACCCACACCAGATCTCCGAATGCCAGCATGAACCCAAATCCATCATGGGTAATGTCCATGGTAGTCAAAACAGCTTCCTAGAAACGAGAAGGGAATTCAGAATTTACAAAGCTTCATTCATTTCACGTTGTAATTAGAAATGGCAACAGTCCAACATGATTGCTGTTTTACCTCATTCCAAAGAGCATCCACCACGTAGAGCAGCTGAAAGCTGTTCACCAGTATCATGGACAGAGATGGCACGCTCTGATTCTGTACCTTCATCTCAGCCAGGAGCATGGCCAAGTTGATAACAACCTGGTTTAGAAAATATTTTATTACAAATTTTCCTGGTCAAAGAAGAATTTATTTTTTCCTCTTACACTATCAGACATTTTTATAAACACTGTTCAGAAACAGATATAAGTTTTTTAAAAAATAAACTTTTTCACAAGCTACAGCTTGCAAATGTATTTCTGAAGCTGTATAACCTCAACATACCAATACTTTAAGAAGGGGTTTCATTTCCCACAAAGCAAAGAAACCAGAATGTAGACATCTTCCTCAACGGAGTAAAAATGGTCATTAAAAATCTGGCAACATGAAACTAAGTACTTTTTTCCTGTTTATGTATTATAGAATCTCCTTAATACCAATTTTATTTAAAAATTTGACAAATCCATTTGGGCCGTAATGAAGCAAATAAAATAACTCACCCAGCCAATTAGTCCTGGACGCAACTCACAGAAGTATTTGAGGTCAAAATTGCCAATACGAGGGTTTAATTCGTGTCCAGTAAAAAAATCATAAACTAAATACCCTGCAGATAAGACATAGTCTTTGTTAGCAACACTTTGCCTTTTATCTGCCACTACACTCCTCCCCACCAAGCAGTTCATATTTTCTACTAAATTTCACTCATTACAAATTGAAAAGAAAATCCCTTTAGATTGGCAAGAAGAATGTGAGTGTATATACAAAATAAAACACAAAACCATGTGAGGTTTGCTTTGTAAGAAACCCAAGTATTTTTTTTATTAGAACTTCTCAATCTATCCTTTATCCTACAAAAACTTATGCATGTAATTCATACTTTCTAGGTAGGCAGTCTCATGACTGAATCAAGATTTCTTTTGAAAATTCAGATAACTAGATTTAAAAGTGCATGGCAGAAGAAATACACTGTCATTTCAAGTTCTGTACTTAACTACCCACTGCCAAAATAACTGGATTTTCCAGTTTTTCTTTCTGTTCCCAGCTGCTTCAGGAACAGGCCCATCAACAGCACAACTATGAAGCAAACTAGACAAACCTCTATGGTAAATGCTGAAAATGGAACGGAAGAAACTGTCCTCTCACTACTGGGGGACTACAGTGGCCAAGATACTTTTGCATAAGCAACTCAAAATAATGTGACTAGAATTTTAAGCTTTTTATAGTATCTGAGTGTGACCAGAGAAAATACCATTTAACTTGCAAGATGAATTTTGCATTGGTGGAAAGTAAAAGTCACAGTATTATAGAAACATAAAGGTTGGAAAGGACCTTTAAGATCATCAAGTCCAACCTACAGCCCTACACCACCCTAACACTAAACCAGCTCCTGAAGTGCCCCATCCAGCTGTTTTTAACCATGTCCAGGGATGGTGATTCCACCACCTCCCTCGGCAACCTATTCCAATGCTTCACCACCCTTTCGGAGAAGTTTTTCCTGATATCCAATCTAAACTTCCCCTGGTGCAACTTGAACCCGCTCCCTCTTGTCCTATTGCTATTCACTAGGGAAAAGAGGCCAACACCTGTTTCACTGCAGCTGTCTTTTAGGTAGCTGTAGAGAGAAATATATATACTCTCTCTCTCTAGAGAGAGAAATACAATAACCAGCCCTAAATCTAGCCTTTAGTTCATGAAAATGAAACTGTAGTGAATAATTGGAAAGAAACCACCCAATATATTTATAACTCACCAGAATTTCCACCCGGTGCTAGTTCTTCCTCAGGTGCTTTCAGGGACCGAACATACAGATAAATGCTCAACACCATAGAAAAAACTGCAGCTGACACTGCAAACTGCATGAAGTGATCATACAAATAATGAAGTTCAAATTGAAAGTATAATAAAGTTCCAATAGCTGCAGCAGTCAAAAGAAAAGCATAAAACCCTAAAGAATGTAGAAGAAAAACATATTAGACAAAATAAGTGTTCAAAATATTAAATAAGTCATTCTCATAGAACCTACCCAGTCCTTTCTGCCTTTTTAACTCTTTCAAGATTTGTCTATATTCCAATAATGTCTTAAACATCCAGTGCTCTTGAGGTTCAAACTTCTGACGCACAGCAATATATCCAAGACATTCTATCTACACCCTGAAATGTCCTGTGCTCCTCATCAAAAGGACAAGGGACAGGAACACTCTGAGGACTCCCATATTTTTTACACAACATCGGATCCAACTTCAGACTTAGTGGAAAAAATGGCTAATAACAGCAAGTGACAAAAATTTATCTATGGGACAGCTCAGATAAAGAAGAAAATACCTTGGTAAGTCAAAACTTCAACACAAAACTTTCATACTTGACAAGTAAAATCGTATTTCTACCTGATTATGATTACATCCAAATATAAGCAGTTCTTCCTTTTCAGGCTTATGTAGAAAATTGTACTTTGCCTTGTAGATATTCCTCACTACCTATTTGATTAATTACTCAGTTCAAGGGCAGTGGTGGTGGTGGAATCCAAGTGTTACTTTAAAAAGTTGAGTGGGATTTCGTACTCTAAACATAGATGAGAAACTTGCCTTATTCATAGGAAGCAACATCAGATCTGAGTAAGAACTCAGAATTGTTCTTTGCCAGGCAAGAATAGGAACATCTTAAATCAATTACAACACACTTCTTTTGTTAGTCTGTAAATCAGAGACATCCAAGATGATTTAGACACGTGGGACAAGATCACTTTAGACTACTCCTGAACATCTCCTCAGGTAACAGTTCATGCGATCGGCAGGCAGCTGTCCCTTTAGCAATTACATGTGAAATACGCAAGCCAGGTGTCCTGTGTGGTGTAACATGTTTTTGTGGGGCAGTTAGTTCTTTATCATTACTACCCTTCTACCAAGAAAAGATTCGTCCAATTTTATCAAAGATTTACAACAAATAACTAGTTTGACCGTAGAGTGTATCTTTCATAATTTTTGTCTTCCTCTAGTAAGCACTGCAAATCAGGTCATGGTATCACATTTCAGAATAACCAGCTGCAGCACCCTTACCATTTATCCGGTACTGCAGTTTCCTCCCGTTTGAAAGGGGCAGGCCTTCTACAACCTAGGAAGAATAAAATATCAGTGTTTCAACAGAGTACTTTCTGGGGTTACTGGCAGGGGAGGGAAATCAAGCACATCTCTGCCACAAAGACATTCAATCGGGGTAACCAGACCGAATCTGAAGATCATGCATTGTTCTCAAAAGTATACTTTGGACATCAAAAGAAAAAAAGGATAATAGTTACAAATAAAAACATATATATATTTAGCCACAATAGTTTATAGCTTCTCGTAAGTGAAGACTACATTCCAAAATAGTGGATATCAGTAAGAAACTGAGTACCAAACTGTTTCTTGATTTAAAAGTCAAATACTGAAATTCTAGAATTCTACCAAGCAAATTCTATCCATGCTTAGATTTGAACTCCTATAGAACGCATTCTGCATTTTCTACTGCAAGACCATGAAATGCACAGCCATTAAATTCTTAAACTGCACTATTTTAAGCTTAAAGAAATCTGCAGCAGCCACATTCAAGCTTAACATGGAAAACTAATTAATTTGCTTTCAAATTCACTGCATTAAGAATGGAACCTACTGTCCAGTCTAACATACAAAGTAATTACCAGTAAAGACCCAAATACCACCACACATCTTACCTTTCCAATTGGCAGTAAGTAAAACAGAGCTTGGAGGAAAAACCACAGAAGGAAAACACCAAACACTCTCGCCTCCCAAAGGCTTTCAAGTGCTGGGAGAGGAGGAGGGAAGTTCATAAGACTGGGGTCATCTTGCTTGCACATCAACAGCAAGTAGAATACAGTAGCAGGCAGGAAAAGTATCATCAAGAAGGTCCCTGTAAAGAGACGTGCCATGTGAGAAGATAAACAGAAAAAACCGCAACTTAGTTTCAATCCCACTAAAGCTCAGTATTAACTGCAGTAACCAAGAAAAGGTTGTCATTATCTATTCTTGAAGCAAAACAGCAGCAATTCCCCGGTCACACCATGGGACACAGAGATATTTTAATTCCTCCTCAATGAGGTCATGTAACAAAAAGGACACACCCATTGCATTCCTTGAAAACTGTTCAAAAACTGCACAAAGAGTTTTTACTGTCGAGTTTAAAGCACCTAGTTTTGCAAAATGTAAAGACTCTGCTAGTTGCCTCAAATTTTAATCTAGAAATATTTAAATCTCACTGTGCAAGGGAAGGCTTAAGATCTTCACTGGATTTCACAAGAAAACCAAGTGTAATAACATTCTTTGACTGCCACCAGTGCCAGCACAGACTACGTGAAGCTGTCATAAAACTCTGGATTCTGCAACCAGAGTCCAAAAATTGGGAAAACAGTTCTTGACATGACAATACCATCATTAAGTAAAAAATCAAAAAGTACTCATTTTCAACTATTAAGACAATTTGCACACATACCAATTCTTCCACCAAACTCTAGCTCCTTTGTTTTTGGTGAAGCTTTCTCAATTGTTTTTACTGTCTCAAAAACCTTCTTCTCTGAATATATCTCTTCTTTTTTCTTTTCTTCTTTTCTTGAACGCAAACTGTACTGTTCAAGTGCACGCTCTATTTCCAGGGCTGGTTTCAACTTTCGCTGTTAATAAACAGAAAGTTTACTACAAAAATTCCAGCGATTTTACTTTCTTTTACTCCAACATTTCCTATTTAGAAGGACATCATTCACCTTAAGTCACCAATATACAACGTGTTCTATTTCTACAGAGTACTTAAGTTTGTGCATTTATATGAAGAAACTGCTAAAATCAGTTTTACTGTGATCAGTTAAGCCATGATTACACGATGGCAGCAGTTCCTGCATAGGTCACCCATTCCCCCCGCTCCTCTCGTCCTTTCCATCATAACTCTGGGAAGTAACTAACCGTCAGGACATAAGAACTAATTTGGGTTAAAAAGTTCATACCTCCGAGGTTTTGCAGGACATGTCATTTTTTTCTGTACTGTCAGGTTCACCATTGTAGCTTCTGGTGTTATTCTCACTAGGCTTCTAGTCAAAAGAAAAAACATAGTTCTAGCTTTCTGAAAATAACTGATGCATTAAGTGCATAATGCTGCTGCATTAAGTATATAATGAATAATTATGAACACTATCAAGGTTTTGGTGGGTTTTTTCCAACGGCAAAAGATCCGGTTTTCTCCACCGGAAAATAAGTGTGTTCAATATCCAAAGTATGGACAGTTTCAGCTCACAAACAAGGAAAGAAAACTCATTTAAGAAAAGGAAAAGGTTACTAATTATTATTTTCTAGAAATTTAACAATGAAATTAAGAGAGAATACAGCTTCCAAATTATTTTTAGCTCGCTATTAGGAACTGCCAAATACACGTCTATTTAGTTCTATTAGGAAAGCAGAGGAAATTTTAGTGACCTACATATGACAGGACTCTACAGGACTGAAAGTTTGGTTTTCCACAAAATATCTCTCTAAGAAATAAATTCTCTTACAAAAATTCCTTTAATTAGTCTAGGTGACACAACTCCGACATGACTCATCTGTTCTGTTTTGTTTCAACTTAAGCTTTATTGAAAAGGACCAGGTACAACGAATATATCAGCCCAACTCCTCAATTAGAAGTGAGGAGAAAAACACCAAATACATTTTAACCTTTCTGTCCAAGTGTTGTTGCTGGCTACAAACTGCTTAAACAAACACATGGTCCAGAGGCTGTGCACTGCGTCACACAGCTCAAAGCAGTTCACTGCAAATCAAAAACCACAGCAATTTCAGTGCCAAAGAACGCGTTTAGTTGTAGCAACTTACTAAACTGTATCTATTTAGTTTAGGTTGGTCTGGTCAGTCTAACTGAAACCTAAGACCTATCTACTTCCAATACACCAGCAGAAGGCATTTCCAATTCAGGGGACCATGTTTCAGAGAAGTAACAACACTTGAAGCTATCTCAAGGGCACAAGTGGCAGAAGAAATGCTGTTTGTCTCAATAAATCTACTATGCTTCACTTACAGAACACACCTGAACCTTTTCTAATACTCAAAATAATCTTTCCAAAAAGGCCAAGAACAAAATGTAGTAAATTTCAGCTAAAAAACACAGATATTTGATAAACTTTAAAACTATCCTGTAAGGGTTTGTATAATGAAAACAGTTCTGCAATGTTATCAATCAGCAAGGCCACACTTGAATTCTGCAGCCATTCTCCCTCAGAAACTGCATTTTTTCCATTATTATTTTAACAAACCTTATATGAAACCAGCACTTGTTTTATTTCATATTAAAATACCTACTTGCTATGTATTGATTAAAAGTAGTCTCTTTGTGCCATTTCACAAGTGGGAATATATGGCTTACAATGACTTCAGTATTAAAATATTAAAGAATTTGTGTTTGTTTGAATTTTGACAACTTCACTGTACCACCAAACTGAACTGGAACGTAACAACATATGTTTACATTTCAAGAATTTCCGCACAAATCAGCAAGATAGAAAGCCTGTTTTCAAAGAAAGAAAAGGTAGTTCTGTGATACTTTTGCAGATAATTTTGTTGTTCAGGGAACTGAGCTAGCTTTTACAATAATAAACCCAGTCTGTGTAAGACAAGTCTGTTCTAAAAAATGCAACAAATCCACACAGAAAGGACAAACAAAACAAAAGAAAATCACAATACCAGTAGAGCTAAGTTGGTTTCCTGAATGGTTTTCTTTTTGTCATCTTTATTTTCTCTGCTTTGGGAAGCAGAACGACGTCTGCCTTTTGCTGGCCGACCAGGAGATCTAGATCGAGATCTGCTGGAACTTCTTCTGGAGGGAGAACTTGAAGAGGACTGGCTCTTCCTGGGCTTGAATGATGATTGTGACTAAAAACAGAGGGAAAGAAAGTGAAATCTTATCTTAGATGTTCCAAAGAAGATTTCAGAAACTTGGTGTTTTTTGTGACAAGACTCCAGCATATCATCTCTCAGTATCATCTCTCATTTCATGCTGTACAAAGGCTGTTAATAAAGAGCAGCTACAGCAGACTCAGTTTGCTGGTAATACCCAATAATCAAGACTGTCTCAAGTCCAACTGGTGACAATACCTGCTGAAGCTATAGGAATCAGGATACAGATGTAAGCTATCAGTGAGCACCAAGCTCTTAATTGTACCAGCCTCTTAAGCCTTTACATAAGTAAATGAACAGATAACTGTCTCTTAAGGCTGAAGAGACAGCTATCATTTCAATTACTTAGGGTTATTAATACCTTATCAAGATGCAATGATCTAAGGCAATGCAGCTCAAATCAACAGTAAAAACCCCAAGACAGTTACACCACTGAATCAGACACATGATAACTAATCTCCTAAACAGTTTTTCCCAAAAAGAATCATTTTACCTCTCTGTAAGGTCTACATTGCTAGCTTTCCCATGTAAAATTTCCACAATACACCTTTCATAAGGCACAAATGCTTTATGACAAAGAAAGCTATTTTCTTAGTGTGAGTTTGCTAACCTGCTGCAAGCACTATGTAAACAAGTCTTAAAGCAGCAAAAACCGTTGTCTACAACAAGGCAGAAACATTTTGTCCCAGAAAATATCAGTTACAGGGCACGTACGCTGCTACTAAAAAGTGAAGCTACAGTTCACATAAAGACACAATATAGCTTTGAATTTATGCAGGTTTCATAACAGGCCTTAAAAATCAACTACAGCAAGCATTCAGACAGCTTTTTATCTCAGGCATTATCTCATTTTAAACTGAAATGAAACTAGTACAAAGTGTTTTAAAGGCACTTATTTTAACAACAACAAAAAAAATACTAAATATATGTAAAGAGGAAAGGATGTGCCCATATACATATGACGTGACCCTGCTTCAAAAGTCAGACAGAGCAAAATACCTTATGGAACCTTTGGGAACGCAGAACAGTACAAGCTACTCACAGACATTTTAAGTATGTGCTTAAAGGGTATGTACTATTGACATTTACAGCGAACCTTCACTATATGCTTGCATTTGTTTTCCAATTTTATTTCTAAGTGGGGAAAAAAAAAATCAAATTAGCATCTGATTACTAGATTTAAGCTATGCAAACAGTTTTTCATGATCAAATCATGCTACAGCGTTCCTGAATGATCTGACTTGTTTTTCCCTAAACGTATCATTGTTTTGCTCAACATCAATAAAACAATGACACTTCTTTAAAAACAGGGTCAGCATTCTGAACTTTTAGTTGAAATGCCACGTAGGAAAGAGCAATTATTTAACACTAATCCCTTGAAGACACAGTTAAAAACTTGCAAGACAGACACTAAATTATAAGATGTATTTTTATCTACATCACAAAATCAATATAAAGTTCCACTGGAAACACCGATAGTTATATGAATGTGTACTCACCCTTATATCACTTTCCTTCAACGCAAGTTCAGTCCCATCTTTGTACTTCACGGTATAAAGATGAGAAACATCATCGTAACTAGTCACTTGTACTTCATAGTACAGGACACTTCCTGGCCAACGGCCCATCACCACCTCACCATCAGCAAACTTCCGGTTTGGCATTTTCCAAAAGGAATCCCTAGAAAAGAAATAAATCAATGCATATGACACCTAAACATCAGCCTTATTTTCTCCCTACTCTTCTCTCATATCATTTAGACTGGAACAGAGAAACTTTGAACTAAACAACTCTTCATCTTAAGTAGGCTTAAAAAGCTGCCCAATAAGAAAAAAAAAAAAGCTGTTGTCTATTTTCCAAATTAATAGTAGACAGAAGTAGGCTTAACATAGAGCAAAGACTGAAGTTAGACATTATGAAAAAATATTCAAATGTATTAATTGTATATCCTCATAGTACATCTAGAAAAGTGTTCAATCTCCATCACCAGACACCATGAAAACCAAGCAAAGCCTAGATTTGACCAAAGTTACATAATGCTGTTGATCTTATCTAGTGGGGAGAAAAAGTAAATCAGAGTGTATCTAAGTGTCCTTTAACCCTTTCTTCCTATGGTTCTATAAAAATTATGGAAGTAACAGTTTCTAAATGTTAAACATCCTCAATCTATTCAATACACACTGTCACTTTACATACTTTCTTCAATTTATTATGCGAAACACTCAAAAGCTAGGAAACACGGGAACGTAGGCTTCTGTCTAGGTTGAATATTTTCTTTTCTCCAGCTATTTAGCACAAGCCATGTAACACCTTTTGCAGGGGCCTGCAGGAAAACAAAGTACAGCATCACAGCAATCATGCAATATCCTGAAAAAATAAATTCTATCCTCCTGGCTGCACCATAAGGCTTTTACTTGATATGTTTTTAAATGTAAAGTTCTGTGTAACTCCTCGAAAGTGCCTTCTATTATGTTATTGCCTTCTGAAAACAGGTATCCACAGCAGAAGATACTTTTAACCTGAACTGCTGTGAACCAAGTCTCAAAATATAAAGTAAGAACATTTTAAAAGACTAAGGTAACATACATACTAACTTTATATTATCTCACCATTTGTATGATTAACATAAGAACTAAAAGTAGGGGGGAGGAAACAAACAAACCAGCAAATGTTCTTATGTCAAAGTATTTTAACTTGTTTGCTGTATGTAGTTGTGAAGCCACACAAAATTAGATAAAAACCAAACACTTAACTAGATACTCGTTCATTATACATTAACTAACCTGCCACGAAACGTTAGATTTTTTGGCAAAAAATTACTGCTAATGTGCAATCACAGACCTTCATAACACATTGAGGGATGGGGATAAGTGAGGTTTTTCAAACAGCTTTCATTCTGGCACCTCCTGAAGAAGCTGCTGCAGTTGAGATTTTACACCTGTGTAGCTTTCCAAGTCAGAGAAGAAAAAACTCGGCAAAATTCCCTCACGTGGATTTCACTGCTAATATTTCTAATTGCTTCAGAATAGAAACATATGGCCATCTCTTTAATGCATAATATTTGAAGGAATGAAGAGAGTAAGTTTCATCATTTAGTGTCACTGATACTTGGCAGTTAGAAAAGTTATCAGTTCTAGTCTGTGCTTGTATGCACATGCTCTTCCAGCTCATATCTTTTATCTACTGTTTGTCTCAATCAGTTTCCTGTTGCTTTCTTTTTTTTTCTGAATTCCAACTTCTCCAACTCTCTTATTAAGTGAAATACTTTCCAGCATTTTAATTTCAAATTCTCCTCCATTCTCGCCTTACAGCTTCTTTAATTCCCTGGGGGTTTTCTGCCTTTTGTGCACTTGTTCACCAAACTAGTTCCAGTTCCTCTTCACCATTTCTGAGCTCAAGATCTGATCTCAATCCTCCATCTCCAACCTCCTTGCCCAGTTTTCTCACCCAAAACCCAGTTCTTTTAGGATCCATGGCTACTACTGCTCTTTCCCCAGTCTCACACACAGTTCCAGCTTCTTCCTCCTCTTCCATAAATAGTTTAAACATCAGCTCTTCACCAAGTCCAGTCATAGCTTTCACCAGATGTCACAACCTGCTCTGACTTCATTTCCTCTGTGCTGTTTTACTTCCAAGTCAAGAGAAGAAACAGTTGGCTGGAGTGTAGGAACAACTCTGGCATCATCTCTAAACTCAGAGCCTGCCCAGGACAAAGCTGCCAGATCCTAGGACAAAGCTGTGAAAACCAGAATCTTTGGAGTTTAAGTCCTTTTTGAAAAAGGGAAATAAACGTTATGAAGTTGTTGCTAAGGACATATAAACTGATTCTTACGATTTTTAACAACCACTTCAAAATTTAGGTAGTATTTCATCGGGATAATAAAATTCAATTCTCTGCCAAACTTCAAAACCCAGCATTTTTGTACTTAAACAAGAGGACAACCCAAAGAAAATGTAACCTGATGGTTTCATTCATTTTAAAGCCAGAAAGACCTTCCTCTCCTCCAGCCTTGTTCTCAAAATGAGCTGAAGTTAGTTTTAAGAAACTGGAAAATGTGGCTGAAGGACCTGAAGCTAAATCAATGCTACGTAATTCTGCCCAAGGCAGATAAAAACAAGAGATTCCAGAATAATAAATTTAAGCAAGTGGAAATATTATCCTGTGATTCAAAAGTAATGAACAACCTGATTAAAGGACTTACCCATTTTTCTGTTTTTTCCTTAAATATTAAAGCTTAACAATGAGATCAAACACTAAAAAATATAAATAGCACTTCTTACCCTACCAAAAAATACCACCTTGTTCTGTACCCCTGTGCCTCCCATGAAGGAGGACTGCAATCCTCATTCCATATGACCCACTTTAAAGAGCTACACCTTTAAAAGGCAGATAAAAACCACTACTAGCATCAAGAAAAGATAGAAAATATTTTTAAAATTAGTTTAGAAATTTCACTCTGAATTTATTACTTTTTCATGCTCTGCACACAGCCCTAGTAATTTTCAGGGTATCAGCTTGCATCAGACTAATGTTCAGGGTAATCCTATACAAGCTTTTACAAGCTTTTTAATTCACAGGGCTTCAAAATGTATATATCCAAGCTACCTCAAAAGAAAATTATTTCATACAATAAAACCTGTACTGTAGAGATAACTGATTGCAAGTACATTCGCTTACTCTGAAGATGAAATTTGTGTTTTCTACACCATTTATGGTTTTCATTTAGAAACCTAGACTTTAAGGGAATGGCTCAAAACTATTTCGTATCCAATACTAAGTCAAGGTAATTAAAACAAAACTGCCTGGAGCTTAATACGTTGGTCAGGAAAAAAGTTAGTGCTGACTCAGCCAAGAAGAAAACAATTAAAGAGAAATACGGCAAAGGAATACATCACCCTATACATCCCTTTCTGGTCTTTAGGACTCTCTCGCTAGATATGTGGAAAGATATTTCCCTCTTGTCGAGAAAATAAGAAGAAAAAGCCTGCTAGCTTGTAGTCCCTAGAAGACTATACCACATCATCAGAAACTAAGTGCATATTTTTAAGAATAAATAAATAAATAACCACCAAACAAAGTTTTCCCTCTTGTACAAGTAAAGCTCTTACATATCCTGTGATTCTACTTATTAATTCTGGCATCTCACCACTGGTTGCATATGTCTGAGTAAGGAGGCAGTTAGTTGAACGGAAGAAAAGAAACGCGAAAAACTAGAGAAAGTATTAACAATGAAGGCTAAGACCGCCTTCTACATGGAAAGTTGCTACTGAATTCACCAAAGAGACTGACCAAGCTGTGCAGGACCTTTTCAGGGTTGCCACTACTCAGTCTGTATTTTTAGCTCTTCACCTGCATAACTGCGGAGGCACCTACCACTGTTCAAGCTTGACTTAGTCATATCAGCTTCACCACTAAAAGCAACCGCAAATAAGCCTCAAAGATAAAATAAAAACTCATCGATCCTCACGCAGGGAAACGGGATTTTTCCCCTCTCAAAAGGCTTTTCATTAGCGGCACTGAAAGCGAAAGGAAAGCGTCAGCAACTCGAAGCGCCCCGCCCTGCAGGGCCGCGGAAGGCGGCGAGGTGAAGGCCGCGGCCAGGCGGTGTTGACAGGAAGGGACTCACGTGCCAGAG